TGGGTTTCTACTATTTTCTAAATACATATATATCTTTTTTTTTTTTTTATAATAATCAGTCTCGACTCACTCACCTCGCCAACTATTTTGGTCGCAGGGTGTTGTTTGGTTTTTTATTAAATACGCATTTAATGTGGTTAGTGAAGGACTCTTACGCAGCGTGTCCTCGTCATTTTTCCAAACATACTTGATTTGCGCCTCCTCATAGGAAACTGTAAAGTAGAGCAATTGATAATAAATTAAATTAAATAGAAAAGTTCCTATTAATTTGTTTTGTTTCATGTTGGTTATAGTTTTAGTTGACTTCAATTGTTTTTGTTATATAACTATCTACTTTAGGATGGTTCAAAACAAACAAAAAAAAAAAAAAAAAAGATTTTTCGGCTTCGTCCTCTGAAAAATCGGTGCTTAGACAGTTTTGGGAAAGTTTCTGCAACTAAGAGCTATACAAATTGATCGATCAAAATCAAATCATGGTATAAAAAACTCTTTAATTTGACAAGATATTTACATGATAACTAAAATATCCCAGTCTCTTTAGATTTGTATAGAAACTGTGTTATTTGAGTAATTACAAATCATTAAATGTCTCTCAGCTTAACATTAAGAAGGAACTGCAAAAAATAACTGATGGCCAACTCATCCATAACGAACACAATTCATTAATGAGCGCCTACGCCGTAGCAAAGGAACTAGCGCCCGACAGCTGAATGGCAACGCAAAGCATCCATTGTCTTTCTGCAGAAAGCAGAACCGGTAAATAAGAGTAAGAAAACGCGAAAGAAGGCGTACAAGTAGCAGGCATTATTATCCATGTCGGTCGCGCGCCCATGGACAAACAAAAATATTTGCAAACAAAAGCAATTCGCCTGCTGCCTCAGAGTAGTTATTAAGCTGCTGTATACAATTTATATGCCGCACACAATAAGACTTGCGCTGTGTGCACGTGGGGGCGATGCGGTGTGGCTGGCGCGGCTGACGTGGCGCTGTCGGAAGCGCATAAATGCGAAAATGAATTGTATTGCCATTCCCAGTTCACCTTTTAAATGCTGCTTTCAATTGATCCAGCACTTTGTTTGCATTTATTTTTCCATTTTCCATTTTCACTTTACCTATTTTTGTTTTTCCTGTTTTCGCTTCTTACACAAAAGCTGGCAATTTACTATTTAATGCTGCGCTAATTTTAATTAATTCAAACAATGCATTGCTTTTACCTGAACGCACCACGCCATGCATTAAAAAATAATATTGGAAGCTGTGTGTGTCGGTGTGGCTGTGTGTGATAAATATGAAAAATTGTTTTGATGAGCGCGTAAATATTTTTATTGCTTTTCATTATTATGTGTAGCGTTTATTTTCATTATTTTCGCCGTTTTATTATTTCATTATATTGGGTAAGCGTGTTCATTTGCGAATATTTTATAATATTTACTTACTGCTTTCCATAGAGAAGGAGCACTTCGGATCATCGAAAGGGAATATGTGTAGGCTACCTTGGCAGGATAAAATTAAGTGGCGTCTGTAAATGTAGAAAATGTGGGCTGTTAATTTATGGCATGTTTCATTTATAATTTCAATTTTTTTCTGTTTGAATTCAAATTTTTAAAATGGAAACATTTTTCTAATCCGTCATAAAAAAAATAAAAAGATTTAAAATAATTTAAAAAAAATTAAAAATAATTAAAAAAAATTAAAAAATTTAAAAATTTTACCCTTAAAAATAACATACTGAAATTTCAACATGACATCTTAAATATTTTTACATTTACATCCATTTAAATGATAGCCGCCCCGTTCAATTCGGTAGAGCAGAGTAAATCTGGAGTAAAATTATTTTTTTATACTTTTAGTTTAACGAAAAGTTTTCAACTCATCCAAGGAGCAAGCCGAAATCACTGCAGCAGTGCAGAAGGTTTGTTTAGCGCTTTGGGAGATCTCATAGAGCTCCAAAAATATTAACATAAAATGCACTATGTGTTCTTAAAACATGTATAAATATACCCTCAAAATTTCTATACATAGCATAGCGATAAAGCAGTTAATTTTAAAAAAATTTCCAAAAATCGAAGTTATTTTAGCCTGCCTTCAAGAACACTTCGGATTTTGGTTTACAACAGACTCAAGCATTTGTTATTTAACAGCTGAGCATATATATATTATTTTTTTTTTTTTGATTTTTCTTTAATTTTTTTTGGGCTATTTTATGTGCATATATTCTATAGCAATCTTCGTAGCTACGCATATCTAGTTATTTTTTTTTTTCAATTTTGCATTAGCGGAAATTCATGCTAAAATGTTACTCATACGCCGTGTTGCTTTGCAAATATCAAGCAACGTACAGGCCACTGGCTCCAAATTTGAGTTGCTTTGGAGCGAATAAATGGTTAAATAATATTGACAATTGTTCGATTGTATTATTACAATACAGGGTTCTCCAATAGGGGTGCTTTAAGGCGTTTTAGGCACTTGTGAATTTCAAAAATTCGATTTTGTGTATATAAGTACATGTGGCGCTTTATTTATATGCGAACCTAGTACCACAATGTTTGGGATATCGTTTTGAAATTTTGCACATGTTTTTCTCTGCACAAAATGTTACTTATTTGACGGAACCACCGATGCCGGTCCACTATAGCATATACATAGCTGATATACAAACTGAACGTTCTGAAAAAAGTACTTGTATAAGAAACTTTTTTATTTGACAAGATATCCTGATAAATTTGGCAGGGATTATTGCCTAAGGTTAAGATGCAATATCCGAAGAAATTGTTCTGATGGGATCACTATAGCATATAGCTGCCATTGTGAAGCGTTTTTTTTTTATTATTTATATTGCCAAAGAGTCGTTGAAGTCATTTATGGCAGGTTGTATTCAGAGTATTATTAGAACTCAGTTTTTGGTCATTGAAGTCTCGATACTAGAAAACTTTAATATGGATATATACTATATAGTAGTAAACATTGCCCTTATCTGCTGGAATCAGCGAAATAGACGCTTTGCTGATTAAAGCTTCAAAACTGCGCGTCACCTAATAATCTTACATAAAATACGCAAACTTGCAACTTCATGCCACAGCAAGCAACGTTGCGGTAAGTAATGTCAATACTTGCATTTCCATACCTACACATAAAATTGTAGGTATGTATGTATGTATAAACGCCAAGAAATTATTTATTCAAAATTTTCTGATGCGTGACTAAAAAATGTCGCGCTGCAAACAATAGCCGCGTGAATGCCGCGCCAGTGCCATAGCGAGCGCAAAGCGTGGCGCATGCACTTGGTCACTGCGCATACTAATGAAATGGCGCACGCGACACAGTATTATTTTCATATTTTAAATATTTTTTTATTTTTTTCACTGTTTTTCTTTTATTTTTAGTTTTTTATTAATTTTTCTTTTTTCTTATGTGTTTTGTAAGCCAAACTTGCTGTGTAAAAATTTGCATTTTTAAAACATTTCGTTGCGCGTTTCATGCCGCCTTGCAGGCGCCATCTGGTGCGCGAAAATGTCAGTGTAACAATATTTCTTTTTTTTTTATTAAAAAAATTCTATTTAATGCGTTGCAAGTTTCAATTTTACTTGTAACGCCCATACACACCTCATTGCGTACGTAATGGTCCCGTTACGGTAGATTCTTAAAGCGAAATGCATTGGTATAATGGGGTCCTTAAAGTCGCCGTGCATAATGAAGTAGGTGTCCGGTGTCCAGATGCTGTCGTGATGATGCAATGCGTTCAAAAAGTCATAATGCGATTTGTTGCCATATTGTAGACGCGGATCGTTCCACTGTTGATTCAGCAGAAACTCGACTTCGTATTTCTGTTGGGTGTGAAAGTGGCGATTGATTGGTAATTTATTAGTGTTGCTTCAGTCTATTTAAAAGAAAGTTAAATTTTCATTTGAAAAACTCACCAAACTGCTTTCATCGGGCGAGGCCAAGCTGAGGAGCAACACATTCACATTCACCGTCAAAGTACCTGCGTTGAAATTTGTGATTTTTATAGGGTATTATTAATGTTTGTATGAAAAATTTATTGCTATAGCTCAAAATAAAATATTTTAAAAAATTTTGTATTTCTATTTAAAAGAAAATACATAAATCTTTTGCATATAGTAGTATAGTTACAGAAAATCATATAAGTTAACGTGTCATAATCGCCAATAACTAAAATGATATAAACCAGCAAGTAAAGGCCAATCTACAAACACAAAATAGCCGACCGCTGCGCTTTTCATTACAACAACTCAAGAGTAAAGTGCTTGGAAAAGTAGTAAATGTGCTTGGGTTTCTAGAAAATAGCTTTATGGATTTAGGTGGAACAAACCGCGGTTGTGTGGCCTCCTCGAGTTGCTAACTTTGGCCATATCCGGTGAAGATAAACCACAGCAAAAATCCTCATCTGTAAAATTAAAATCGAAGAATTTAACTACAGTACTAAGGATATTTAATATTTTTTTTTAATTATGTATAAAACATTTATAAGAAATTTTGTTCCCTTTCTTTAACGCTGCAAGAATTCATGCTGTTTGACAAATGTCGGTGCTATCTGTTGTGTTCAGCTTCGCTTCAAAAAAATTCTAAAACCTTACAACTATACACACGAAATGTATAGAAAACCTCGGTTAAGTACACCCTAATGTTTTGGGTAGGTGCTTGAACGTTGGCACTATTCCATATATAGTATATAAAAACTCGAGAGAAGTATGTTATTCTGAGCCGAGTTGATAGTTATTCACAGTAAATTCGATTTCGTTTCGGTTATGTGTAACCTAATGTTTTGGGTAGGATTTTTATTTTTAGCATTATTCTATATACATAACATCGTGAGAAGCATCTTATTCCTTGTCTAGTTGATAGTACTTCGCTATATTAAAATTCGGGTTCGTTTCGGTTATGTATGCCACAATGCTTGGGTAGGTTTTTGAACGTTGGTTTTATACCATATGCACTAGCCCACTGACAATCTGCAGTATAAACATTAAAAAATATATACTTCCCTATATTTATGCCAATGAAAAGTATATACGTATGTATTTCCCTGACACCCACGACCTGCAGGAATTTGCTTCAATGTCAGCTGACAGCTATCGACGCTGTCATATATTTTTTTGACATTTAAAAAAATTGTTTTCTTGTCCTTTTTATTACATTTTTTTATTCAAAAATATTTTCTTACTTGTTTTAATTTTTTTTTTAATTTTTGTTTTCTTAATTTTTTTTTAATTTTTTTAAATTAATTTTTTATGTTCCTTTGCATATTTTTGTACTTTTTTCTATGACTCAATACTTGATTCTTCATTTTTGCCATGCCACTGCTCGCAAATGGTCATTTGTGCCGCACACTTGCGCATTTTTTCACATGTGTTGCGGTTGTGGCAACAAAACCAACAAGTTACCCACAAGTGGGCCCTCATACATATCCGCCTTTAGACACTTTTGTGGATTTTGCACACACACACACAAGAAAGAAATAAAACAGAAAAAACTCCACACACACACTCACACTAACAGCGCCGTTTACACAATTTCCCAGCTGAGTAAACGGGCATTGCCAAGTAACAGGCATTCACATACGCAAACATACGCACACACACACACTTGCATATGCTTGTAAAATTTAAGCCTCTGTGCGCACTCACCGTTAACTGGCGGCAGTAGACGTTTATCGTAACGTTTCTTCTCCAGCAACAAGTCCAAAATTTCCTTATCCGAGCTGGACTCGTCGAATCTGCGAATAAAAGAGTTGACAGAGAGTGGAAGCGGAGAAAGAGCAAAAGTTGAAATGAAAAAAAGAAGAAACGGTATAACTGTAACTTCAAGGTAATGGTTGCACATAAAAAATGTTAAACTTTTATAACCTAAAATGTGGAAATGCCTTTGTACCGTATAATATTAAAGTGGCAAGTTAAGCAAAATAGGTAATGCAACGATGTATGTGTGTGTATATATGTATATGCACCATTTAAGTATGTATGTGTGTGTGCGTTTAATAGTGAGCTGCTAATACGGCGCATATAATGTGGCTTTGATGTGTGCAAAAGTAAATATGAAATTTTATTTTAGCTGAGCTAGTAAAATGCTACGCGCTTACAAATACCCTTAAGTAGTTGGTTAGATTTAGTTGCGCGTGTTTGCTGTGGTGCAAGTGCGTAGTATGCTGTGCGTGTTTGTGTGTCCTAGCTATACATTTCATTAACAAAATCTCTCATAATGTACATTTTAGCCAAACTTTTAATTTACATAGTCTGCTTTTAGGGGTCGTCTGCATTTCAGTTGTTTGCATTGAAAACTTTCTTTAACGAGTTTTGCGTTTATACGTGTGGTTATTTTTGTTAACATAAAATGCTGCAGACTGCGCTGTTGTGTGAGCGCAATTAATTAATTAAATGCTTGAAGTGCGGTTTAATCCTTTTATTGTGTACTAATGTGCGTGTAATGAAGGTAGTGGTTCTACTATAAATAATATAGCAAGAAAAATGCACTGATTTTTGCTGTGACGTTGCTTATTTTGCTGTTTTGTCACATTGGTGGCACTTTTCAATAGTATGGGTCAAATATGCTTTTCGCCTAAACCTAGGCTATAATTTGGTGAGACCTTTTTTTTACTGTTTGCGTAGAGAAAGCTTTTGTGTGACCAAATACACTCCGAGCTTTGATAATGTCTCCCAAAAATAGATAATAATATGTATATACAATAGAACATATAAATATATTAGGGTGGGCCAAAAAAAGATTATTTTCGCTTGGTAGTCTGGAATATTGGTTGAAAAACATGTCTTCTAAAAATTCTTTCAAAGCTTTTGCCTAAAATGTTTGTCGCTTGAAACTAGATTATAATTTGGTGGGACAGAAAAATCTTTTGTATGGCCAAACATAACTTCGAACTTTGATAATGTCTCATAAGTATTGCCGTATTTTTACAAAAAACAAATAATATATATAAAGCATAGTTTTTGGTGATGACATTGTGGGTTACCTGGTTCCAAAATGTTGAGTGGTCATTATTGAAAATGATTACAGCACCATCTTGTTTTAATTTACACACTCAATGAATCTTAGAATCGTCCAAATTTTTCTCGTGCGAAATAAATGATAATGAAACGGGCCAATGGAGTTCAGTGAAAGTTTTCTCCATCAAATATGCTCCAACAGCCTTTTCACACATCCAAATTAATTTGGTAGATCAAGATTATAAATAATTAAAAAATCACGTTTTGGCTCGATTACCGATCAGCTGTTATACTTGCTTGTGTGTTTCTTCATTTTGTATTTGTTCTAAGTATTAAAATTCATTAGCTGATGCTCACAACCAAATTTACAGCCAAGTTAACAACTGCAGTTTCAGCTCGATTTCAATTCGATTAAGAATTAATGTAGTATAATAAGATTTTTTTGTATAGTAAATCGATCTAAATGAGCGTTTTAATCGAGCAAAGTTCGGCTAATTAATCAAATAACTCCAGTGCGAAAAGACTATAAGATTGTTAGAGTATCGTTCATAGTTGTATTTAAATGGAAAGAAAGGAGTATTAATCGAAAGTCATTCTAGTAGCATGATAATATCTCGAAAATCTATTTTGAAGTAATCCTTAGAAAATTTATTTAAATATATATTTTCAGCTGTCTTAGACAAAAAATAATATACCTGGTAGCCTCACACCAGAATCAATTTTGGTTTCTTAAAATTAGCTTCTTAAGATTTTAGTTCATGAAGCCACAAAATTATTCATAAATTTCAAATATGCAACTTCCATAACAACTGATATCAAAACTCTGTGGAGCGAGTAGCGAAACATCGAGCTATTTTGTGAGCTGAAGGCAAAGAGAAAATAATTAAAAAGTCCATACCTCGGACTAAAAATCCATAAAATATCTCCACAGCAATGCGAAAATGGTCTTTTGTATACCTAGTTTACAATGAAAAATTGTAAACTCTAAACGCCTTTCAAATAATTTTTCGAAACAAAAACCAAATACCGGCATTTACAAGTGATTGAGCTGCATACAATTTAGATGAAAAAAAATATATATATGTATAATTTTATTCGCAAACAATAAAAAAATCAATTGCTGAATATTTTTTTGATAGAAAAGCGTTTTGCGAAGCAGTTATTGTATGCTTTTGTATGCTATGATTGTCTACAGCTACTTACTTAAGCGCGCAATTACGTCGCCCACATCCATGGAAACGATGAGAACTGCGTCCAATTAAAATTATACGAGCGTTTGTTTGTTTTTGTTTGTGTGTAGGATTTTAAGTTACAAGAAATTTCATCATTTAACTAAGTTCATATACTTGTTTTTTTTTTTTTTGTTTGTGCAATTAGCTAAGTAGTTTACATACTTTGGCATACAAAGTTTGTAGAACTCAAGAACAACACCGGAAAGCCAAAACTTCGTATATAACGTTGGAACGAACGCGACAAATTATAACAAGGCATACACAATGTATTTATATACAGGTTGGTTTTTATAAAAAAAATTCGAAAACATTGAAAGCGCCTGCGAAATCGACTAATTTTGAGCTTATTCATCAAAATTATAAACTGTACATTTTTCGTAGTTTCAATGAGCAACTGGAGAACGTGTTAACAGCTTTATAAATATTTCTGGTGAATAAAAGGTATGAAAGGTTTTTCTATTGTTAGGAGCAGAGTATGGAAGCTTAAACCATTGTTAGTATTTGTTGGGAATGGAGTTTGCTTCTTGCAGGGATCACATAAATACGGAGTTGCCTGACTCCAAGCAAAACTCATTTGGAGTTAGAGTGAAATGTTGGGGATTCTTTGGACAAAAAATTATGTTTCTGGTTCTGGCTTGTGAGTGAAGAGTTTTTTTTTTAATTTTTAAAATAATTTTTGTTTGAAGCCATGTGAATAAAATAAAGTCATTGGTAGGTGCAAATTATTTTGCTTTTCGATTCGAGATTGCTGAAAGATTAAATCTTTCGAAGCTAGTCGCATTAACGACAATGAAAGAAGTGACCCATTTTTGAAGCGCATTGTTGCGTATAAAATAAACTTTCGCACGGGTGTCATAGACTGTACACTTCGAAAGAACGTAATAGCTTAAAGTACCAATGTAGCTATGATGTTTGATTTTGTAATTATCTGACGAACCATATACTCAAAACAGTAAATTATGAGGAATTGGAAACAGTATTTGTAGTAAGTGATTAGCAAAATTTCAATGCGTATTAAATGTGTATGAAATTTCGCTGAACTTAGTATTTGTAAATTTTTGATTTACAAAACTAAAGTTATCATGTTTTGGCCAATGATAATTAAGCTTGAATATAACTGTATTTTTCATGAACATAAGCTAAATCAACACTGTAAGGGAAACAATGAAAATTGGCATGCAAATTTTTTTAGTATACAAGTTTTGTAGACAATGAAGTCTACTTTCAGGCGTTTATTTATAAAATTGGTTTAGGGAGCATAAAATATACATTTAGGCGTTGGTTTATATAAGAAACAATGTAGTCTACATTTAGGCGCTAAACAAAAAGCACAAAATTAAACGTTTCTTTTAACAAGGAGTTTGTTTCAGTTTAATAGGCAGTAAGCGCCGCATTGGTTTAAACATTAGAACAAAATAAATTTTTATATTCAATTATTTAATTTGGCGTTAAATGCGCAATTTTACTTAAAATTTTGAAGCGTTAATTTGTTGTTATTGCAATTCAATTAATTCGTATTTTTTTTTTTAATATTAAGCGTAATTTAACTTTCTGATTGTTTGCTTCGGGAATAGCGCACTTACTTTGACCAATCGATGCTTTGACTGCAAGAAAGAAAAATCAAAAGAAAAAGTACATAAAACCAAAAGTTTAAGAAATGTTCAGTTTAACTAATTTTAATTATAAAACTACGCAAATTTTTTTGGTACTAATTATAGACTAAGTAGTAAGCGTATACTTAAGTGGGCCGAATTGGGTAAGGAATTTACGTAAAAATTTCAAAACAAAATAAAAATTAACTAAATGAAAAATTAGAAAGAATATTAGAATTATTTAACTAAAAATATTAACAATAAAATTCTAAAGTTTTAATTCAAAAATAATGAATAACAGTAAAACCAAGTGGTGCCGCCTACGAAATGTCTGTGGGAGGAGTTGAGAGTGCCGTATGTAGTGCACATTTAGGCGTTAGAGAGTAGTTAAAATGATATTACAACGCTGCTTATATTAGATACTGTTAAATTAACTGAGTGTGCTTATGTGCGCGTGTGACGTCAATCTCCATGTGTATGTGTGCGTATGTGTAAATTTCAATATCCTGTGCATATGGGAGTGTGCACTCGTGCGCTCAGCAATACATTATGCTTTGCTAACTCCCACGCCCCCCTTCACTCCCCCACACTTTAACTTAGTTCCGCCCGGTCTTGGCGCTACTTACATGGGATGCTTATCGAATGGCGCCTTGTCGGGCGAGTGCGCCGCCGCTGTTGTTGTCGTCAAATAGCAGAGCACCAGTATAACGCTGGAGGCGGCATAGAAACTAATCGAGTTGCCCAGCAGATGATAGTAGTTGTGACCGATGTAGCTGAAGGCGCCGTAAGCGGCAGCGGCCACCGTCTGTATGCTGCGACGAAAGCGATGCCGCTGCTTCTGTTGCTGTTGTTGTGGCGGTTGTGTCTGCTTTTGCGTCGGCAACAATTCCCGTTGTTGCTGTCTTTGTTGTGGGGAATGGTGGTGTTGTTGTTGTTGTGGTTGATTATTTCGGTTTTTACTATTGGCCGCGCGTTGTTGCTGCAACTGCGCTTGCTGCTGTTTGTGTTCGTGTTGTTGCAGCTGTTGTTTTTGTTTTTCGTGGTGGCAGTATGTCAGCGCATTCCGCTGCGCTGCTAAGGGGTCTTTCAGTTCTGGCCGCTGCGGCTGTTGCTGCTGCTTCGCTTGCTGTCGCTCAACAGTTCGTTGCTTTGGTTTTTGTTGTTGTTGTTCTACAAGTTGTGACTCATTTCTTCCGCGCTTGTATGCCATCTGCAGTCGTTGACACTTACTCTGCAAAAGCTTCCTTGGTTTCTGTGCTTGGTTACACTGCTTGCGGCTTACCTGCCGCTCCGCTTGCGTCCACATACCGGCGCCTAGCGATTTTTTCCCTACCGCGTCGCGTCCGTCCAACTGGTCGTTTGTCGTGTGAAACCCCAAATTCTCACGCAGACAGCCAAGACGCTCGGTTAACGCGCTACATGCATGTTGCAGCAATTCTTGTAGACATTGCTTGTCTGCGCCGCGCGCTGCTAGAACCTTAGCGCCATAGCGTACGCTGGCAGACGCAGTCGTCCGCGCGGCCGTTTCCGTTGGCGGCGACAAACTAGCGCTTGCGTTGCGCCACAACTCATTTTCGTCTGGCGCTTGCGTTTGTGTTGGCTGCTGTTGCGCGGCGGCTTCCGCTTGTGGCGGCAATGCGACACGCGTCTGTGGCAGTTGTTCGCGCGATAGCTGTCGGTAGCAACAATTATTATTTCCGTCCTTCGCGCGCTGAAAGTTTGTACAAGTGCCGCTCGCGTTGTAGAGTGTATCACTATTATTCTTCTTGTTGTTTTCTTTGTTGTTATTGCTGGCGTCTATCGCTGCTGTGCAATTATCTACAAAAGTCGCACTCAATTTACAACGCGCTCCGTCTGTACGCTGCGTTTCTTCTGGCCCGACCGCAACCGCAACCGCTTCCGCCTCAACGCCCTCGCAGTGGTTGCGCTCAATTTGTATTTGCTTTTCAGTCTCTTCCGCTTCGACGCCGCTTCCTTCTGCCTCGTCTTCCCCTACCGCCGTGTGTCGCTTTTGTGTCTTTTTGATTGCTATATCTCTCGCTGTGTTGTTTGTCTGTCGTCGGCACTTAGTCCCTTTTGTGCTTGTCGCCTGCTCGTCGCTAACGGCGTTGCTTTGACAGATCACCTCTGAACTCAATAAACGCGTATTGCTACTGTCGTTACTTTTATACGAGTTGTTGTCACAACAGTTGTTTTTGCTGTTGTTGTTTTCGGTATCACGAATTGGGCTACTTTTATTGCTTTGCTGTTTGTTGGCGTTGTTGCTGCGTTGTGTCCTCGTTTTGGCAGCCTCAGAGGAATAGCCCATGTTATGGCATCTGGAAGAAGAAGAACGCAAGTTTATATGAATTTTTTTTTTTTATTTTGTTGTAAAAACAGTACTGTAAATATTTACTTAGATAGCAACTTATTGTTATTTTGTATATAAAATTCAAGTTGTCTTTGCGTTAAAGAATGCCTTGATCTCTTAGTAGATTTAATCAGATACTTCACATTAACCCTTCAATGTGTTCCGGGACGACGTCTCGGAGCTTGCACAGATAAAACTTTTCCATAAAGATCTATGTGCGTCGTGAGACAGCCACTCTTCGCACCTTCCTACTTTATGTGATCCAGATCTCTAAAACTAAATCGCAGTTCATTTAATTTCTTAAAGTGAAACTCTTTGATTAAGTAGACGCTTAGCTTGATCGCTCTTAGGTCAGAAGAGTTTAGATAAATATGCTGATTTCTCCTGAAGTCGCGAATAATTCCACTTTGACTGCTAAAAAGCATCTCTGTCCGTTGTGATACACAAAACTCCTGGTTTTGGACCAAAAAGAAAATTATTAATGTATAGTTCATAATATCCTCTCTTTGAGCTATATAAGTATTTAATACTCTCATTAACTATATCGAAAATATTAGGTTTCTCTCACTGCTTCTTACTTTCTCTAACTTATTTCTCATTGTCTCTCTTTTTATAAATTAATATGTAAATATCTTTCACACCGCTTCTATTTCTCACTCCCTCTCACTTTATATCTTGCTCTTTTTCTACTCTAGTTCTTGAAATTTGAGTATGTGTTATCTCTCTCTCTCTCTCTCTCTCTCTCTCTCTCTCTCTTACTGTGTCTGTCTTTGAATTTATATCTTACCTTAAGGAGAGCACTTAATTCTTGAAGAGAAAGCATTTGCCTAAGAAGAAGAACTCAGCTAGAGTTTAGAACAAAAGTCGGAAAGACATAGAAATCTTTAAGCGCCATTTTATATTCAACTGAGATGAATACTCTCCTCTCTCTGACCTGAAAACTTTACATTGTCCAAAAAGTAAAGGTCTCTCCGATCGTTGCGACAATTGTTGGCATTTCTTCCTTTTAGTTTTTTTAACAATTTCATTCTGGAAATTCCACTGTGTTTGGATAATTGCTTTTTGTGAGTCTTTAAGACTTTTACAAAGAATAACTCGACAAATTGCTAAGATCTCTTATTCACAGATTATAAGTTTGTGAGATAGCTGAGGCAGTAGGCATCTCAAAAGATCGTGTGGATCATATATTGTATAACATTTCGGTCTAAAGTTGCCGTATTTGCTCACACCGGACAGGAAGCGCAACGTTGGACCTTTCTGCAGATCTTTGTGACGCTGTTTAACTCATATTTTGACGGTTTTAATGGCGTTTCTTTGATGAAACATGTAATCACTGGTATAGACTAAATGAACCCAGGCACAGTCAAAACAGTGAACAGTGAAGGCCGTGCTATTCCAGAAAGGTGTTGACCAACATTTTTTGGGGCTATGTTATGCCGAATTATTAGGCCGTTACGAATCTCAGAAAACAAGATTCGTGGAGGAAACATTTGAGCACTAAACCTTGTTAAAGCAACACAACTAAAAAGAATATCGCATATAAAAGCATCCACTCTAATATCTTGTTACAGCACACAAAGTGATGACAATTACATTACAGACTCTTCAAACTCAAAGCAAGCATTTACCCGCATACACACACACTCATATATATGTATATGTATACATGTATGCATATATAAGGATCATAATTATCCTTGCACAAATTTCATGACAAAAAGTCAAAGTGAAATTTAAATTTGCGTACAAAGTGCTTATTTGAGCAACTACAAAAACAACAACAACAAAAGTTCACTGTATTGTACGCTCACAAATTGCAGGGGGTGTTAAAACGACACAAGGGTAACATAATGAGTTAAGCAAAAGTTGTTGGTAATTATTTTTGGGTAATATGACGAGTACAAGCCCGAGCACGAACTCAAGCACAAGCGCTGAAAATCTCTAGAAACATGGCGAGCGGGGACGCGGGGGTCGCAGCGCGCAAATAAAAACAAATGAGACTACAACAATTGCAGGGACTACATAAGCAATAACTAGTTGAATAACTACTCACACAGCAATAATAACAACAGTAATGAAAACAACAACAACAGCATTGAGAAGCGCAAAAATGTTAATAACATTGATAAAAATACAACATGAAAACTTTTTCCCAGCCAGACAAAATTGAATTACGTCAAGCGCGTGGGTGGGTGAGACGGCAAGGCGTTGCTGTCGACCGGGCGGGGAGTGTCAAGTGAAAATGAAAACTTGAACTTTGTCAGTGATGAGAAAATTATTATAGCGCTACAGAGGAGGGACTTCACAGTCATGTTTGTGTGTATAAGCGAAGGAAAATGAGATGAAGCACTCCAAAAAAAAACAAAAAAAAAAAAACACAACAGACAACCATCAAGCTAGTCAGCCGTGCAACATCAAATTGAGGGTGAAATATGAAATAAGAAACTTTTTGGCGCAGTCAAACTGTGTATAACAAGCGCCAAGCGAAAGGCAGCGCTTCCACGCTGTGAGTAATACAAAAATAACTGTATTTTTAGTCGCGCATACAGTTGGCAAATCAACATAGTGTTCGCGTTTTGTTCAAAAGTGCATTTCAGAAAAGGCTTTGGAAGTTTGGAAAATGTAAGCTAACGGCATTTGGGGGAATTCGCGAGTTAAGTTAATTTGAGGGAAGTTCAACAAACCGCAAATCAAGCGTGGGGCAGAGATGCATGTGGGGCGCCAGTGAAATGAATGATGACATGTGATGCTTGTATGTAGTATGTTAAATTAAATATATACAATTAAAAGCAATTCATAAGCCTTTTGTTCGATACAATTTTATTGATATTTTTCAGAGTAATTTTTGAGATAAATTTTATCGATAACTTCTTATTTATTTTATATCTTTATATAAAGAAAGTTTTTTATGTTTATTTATTTTAATTATAAGAGTTAATCTGCTTAAAAAAGTTAATAATATTTTTTTTTTTTTATAGAAATTGTGGTTTTATCGATATTTTTCTGTAAGTCGTAATTTTACGATATACATAGTTCTGCAATATTATAATTTTCTAATCAATTAAATATTGACATCATGGAAATAGTGATGTTATCGAAGATTCAGTTTTTGAAAACTGTCGGTAGATTTCGATTTTTCTCTTATCGATAAATATTTGAAACTTGGTCGATAAAAGATACTTTCTGTAAAGGGCATTGCAAATATCGATTTTTAAGTATCGATATTTTTGAAATTTATCGAAAATTTCTAATGATTTTCTATTTTATAGTTAAATTTCTGGTATTTTTTGGATTGGGTAAGGTGTATTCCAATTATCGATTTTTGAGTCATCAATATCTGTGAAATTTATCGTAACTTTCGATTATTGAGTTTTTATTTTATCGATACATTTGCAGCATATTTTAAATTTGATCGATAGCAGTTTATCGACATATTTTTATATAGTTTTTTGTAAATATCGATTTTTGAGTTATCGATATTTTTGAAACTTATTGATAAATTTAGATTTTTGATTTGTTTGATGTTTGTACTTATACATTTTCTGAACACTTTGAGTATAGGTTGCGGTTAACCCACTTGTTAACTAAAGCATTTAACTCATGTTGACATCTGCAAATGTTTTGACTCAATTTTGTTTAGAAAATCCCAACTTTCAAATTTACTATCCACTGCTTTACTGACTATCCCACAACTCAACTCTTGACCGCAAGCCCACGAGTACAGCGTTCGGCAGAAACTGTTAAATGCAAAGGCACTTGAGTTTCAAAAATTAAAAAAGTTACCGTTGCCATGCCTGAATGGCTGACCAAGTGAAGAACTCGGTTTGCATTTTCACCAATTTCAGCTTTTGCATACATTTTCCTTTTATATATGCTCATATGTATATGTGGTGTTGTGCTGCATATGACAGCTTGACAGCTGGAGTGATGGACTAAATATGACTTACACGTAGTTGAGCCTGCCAGGTCAGGCCGGATATTCGTGCCCATCAGAGCGTGTTTGTCAATATGTAAATGCATAAATGAGTTATATATACCCGGGGAAGGCTGTCATGCGCCATGCTTGTGGCGAGTGGCGAACGAAGGACCAAATAGGGAAGGTGCAGACTCTTTTATGCCGTATGCACTTAATTATATAAGTTATTGATGCTGTGTGGAGACAGGCAGCTTATAGCTGAAGTTTCTGTTGAAGTTTCTACAGAAAGCGCGAAATGCTTTACTGAGACTGTGAAGTCACACAGGCAGGAAGCAATTTATAATAATAAATATAACTTCTCGTGAAATCGAAATGCTTTGCGGTTATGTATGCGCCCCGATTTTGCTGTCTACTACTTGGTGTTTCGTCTCAGCTGTATATATATACTCGCCTTTCGTTAGTATTCGAGTAAGTGCAAGCGGCCTGTCACTTCATGTGTATAAATTAGCTTTAATTGATTTGTTCATCGATTGTGTCCTTTATAGTTAACCTCAATCTTGTTTTTGTCGCCTGTACGGCTGGACTGCTGCCATTAAGCTGTTGCAAAATGATTAATTGCCCAGACATGGTAAATAGCAACAATTTATTGCCCTTAAGACAACGGTAAATAGTGTCACAGCACATAATTTCTTCTAGTGAGATGATGATGAACGGAAATGGAAAAGTAATTGAATTAGGTACATATTTCTCTTTTGGGAGAAAGGTCCTAACAAAGTTGAGCGAAGTTGGGTCTCAGTTGAAAAGAAGTTCATATTGAAGCGATTTTGCACTTTAATTATAGTTCGCATTTTTCTGATGTATTTGATGTGTAGAATCCGAAAAATATCGAAATACTTATAGAAATTGTATGCATACGGAAGTAAGGCATATATAATGCTATAACAATATTATAGATTGTATGGTTGAGATTTTTAAAACTGGTTAAACTTTTGTAAAATCATGTACAGTTCAGACTTATCTATTTCTAAATTATCCTTATTTTTGAAATTTAT